AGTGTTTCTTAAGTTTTCTGGTTAAAACTGGTTTTGATTTGGCAGACTTTGGAAAATGCAGTTCATACTCGCACCACTCTGGGTACTATGACTTTTAACATATTTTACCAATGTTCAAAATACAGGTAGCCTTCACATTTCATGCACATCTTGTAAGTGACTTTGGGTTATAAATACTTGTTTACTGATTTAAAGAAATATATAATAATCTTCTGCACATGTTAAAAGTCCAGTGGGCATTCAATATATTCAGTAAACAAAGCTCTTCCTCAAAATTTTTTAAACTTAACCAACACAATAAACTTTAGAGAATGATAATGAATCACACAAGTTGAATAGTAGAAGAGAGACAAAGAGGCTTATTGGTTTCTTCAAACATCATAATGAGATGTGGGATTCTCTCTGCCTCCTTCTCCCTCCTCCCAATGTTAAACATTGCAATTATAAGAGGGCTTGGAATAGATAGTATTCTAAGGAGTCCATATGGTGTAGTGCAGGGGTCGGCAACCTTTCAGAAGCGGTGTGCCAAGTCTTCATTTATTCACTTTAATTTAAGGTTTCACGTGCTGGTAATACATTTTAATGTTTTTTAGAAGGTCTCTCTCTATAAGTCTATATATTATATAACTAAACTATTGCTGTATTGTAAAATAAATAAGGTTTTCAAAATGTTTAAGAAGCTTCATTTAAAATTAAATTAAAATGTTGATCTTACGCCGCCGGTCCGCTCAGCCCCCTGCTGGTCTGGGGTTCTGTTCACCTAGGCCGGCAGTGGGCTGAGCAAGGCCTGCGGCCCAGATCCTGGCTGGCCAGGGTCCGGCAGCCAGAACCCCAGACCGGCAGCCAGAACCCCAGACCTGCAGTGGACTGTGCAGGGCCGGCAGCTGGGACCCCAGACCGGCAGTGGGCTGAGCGGCTCAGCCCGCTGCCGCTCAGGGGTTCCATCCGCCGGCTCCTGCCAGCTGGGATCCCAGCTGCCGGTCCTGCTCAGCCCGCTGCCAGTCTGGGGTCCCGGCCCTGCCCACCTACAGTGAGTACCTACCTTCTCCCTGGTTCTGGCCCCTTCTCTTCCTCTCTCTCTGCACTGAGCTGAGAGTGGGAGTGCACTGAGCACAGGGCTGGGGGTGAAGGAGCAGGCTGGGGGTTGGGGTGTAGGGTCTGGCCAGGAATTAGAATGAAGGAGGGGGCTCAGGGTTGGGGCAGGAGGTTTGGGTGTGGAGCGCTTACCTGGGCAGCTCCCATTTGGTGCGAAGAGTGCAGGTGGAAATGTGTTGGGGGGGTGCAGGAGCTCCCGTTTGGTGCTCAGGGTGGGGCTGGGTATGTGAGGGGGGTGCAAGAGTCAGGGCAAAGGGCTGGGGGCATGTGAGAGGGGTGCAGGTGTCAGGGCATGGAGTGTAAGGGGCCTGGGTATGTGTGGGGGTGCCAAAATCAGGGCTGGGGTCATGGGGGGGATGTGAAGGAGTCAAGCAGAGGGCTGGGTGTGTGTGAGGGGGGGTACAGGGCTCAGGGCAAGGGTCTGGGGTGTGTGCGGGGCACAGGGCTCAGGGCACGGCCTGGGGAGTGTGTGGGGCTACAGGTCTCAGGGCAGAGGGCTGGGTGTGTGTGAGGGGGGTTCAGGCAGAGGGCTGGGTGTGTGTGAGGGGGGCGCAGGGTTCAGGGTATGGGCCTGGGGTGTGTGCAGGGCTGCAGGGCTCAGGGCAGAGGGCTGGGTGTGTGTGAGGGGGGGGGGTCAGGGCAGAGGGCTAGGGGTGTGGGCTGGGGTCGTGGGGTGCTCATGGCAGGGGGCTGGAGGGGATATGCCCCTATTCCACCACCACCCCTTCCCCAAGGCCCTGCCCCCGCTTCTTCTCTGCCTCACCGGGAGCAGTGAGCATGCTGACTCCACTCCTCCCCCACCCCCTCCCTCGCAAGGGCCATCAGCTGATCGGCCGGCAGGGAGGGAGGGACGGAGAGGAGGAGGAGGTGCAGGAATCCAGCACACTGCAGGAAGAGGCAGGGGAGCTGGCAGGACCAAGCTTCTGCCTCCTGCCCCTTGCCCCCTGTCGCCGCGGGAGGGGGCAGAGGGCGGAGAAGAGTGGGCCAAGCTGGGCTGGGCAGGATTTTTAATGGCACGCTGCTGCCTGCCAGGACTCCGTCAGGCAGCAGCATGCCATTAAAAATCGGCTCGCGTGCTGTCTTTGGCAAATTATTTTTTTACCCTAATTTTAACAGGTCAATCGATACACTTAACTGAAAAATTATATTTCGGCCAACATATTTTTATTTTATATTTTGCTTGTAAAAAGAATCTGTTGGTTATACTGTTAAAAGCAGGGTCAAAATGCTTGTTTCTTGAGTAAATGACTAGAAGTTCAGTTTTCTTACAAAATAAATGGTGCCAAGATATTATACTTGCCTTTTCACACTTTGTAAAATTGGTTCAGCAGGTTTTTTGTTAGTTGTTTTTAATCCAAAGTATGCTTAATAAACAATTTTGGAGACACCAAGATAATGTATATCATCTAGGTAAAGTCATAAAGCAACATTCATATAGAGTCATGGCCAATTTTGTTTTTAAGGAATTCAAATTAAAACCCCAAAAGGGAAATGTGGAAAATACATATGTTCCATTTTAACCCATGTTTTATGTATGTATGTATTGCTTAGTTCAATCTACTGTTGTTCTTAATTTTGCCACCTAATAGAACTGCAGACTAGGAATTATTAGTCCATCTTTGTCTCTAGACTTAAGGATATTTTTAACTCTGAGGTTTTCCACTCCACATAAGGCCCCAATCATCCATCAGGACAGGATATTGCAGATGCTTGCACTATCCCATTGATTTCAGTGAGACACAGCACAGCTACTGAGGTCCAGGTTGATGCAGGAGCAGAATCATAATGAGTTAAATCACAGTTTGATAGGTGGTAAGGATTTTATCTAGAATTACTTGGGTAGTGTCTGGAAAAGATAAAGACAGCTGCCCAAATCAGGAAATGTAGAACTTTTCCTTCTCATTTAATCCATAGTCACTTTTGATAGAATCTGATAGGAACTACTTTTCTCATTCAGATTTCCTAAATTGGAATTAGGTGTGGGTGTACTTACTTTTTATTTAACCATCTTGAATTCATATTTTATTATCAGGTATCTTTGCCTTTCTTGTTACTAGTTGTCTCAATGTCTGAAGTGCTTGATATTAATTATAAGGCCTAAGATTTATTGATCTGCATTATTTTAGCATGTGTGTTTTGTGTCTCAGCAATTACAGCATTCTTTTTCCTCTTAAACCCAATATTTCTGAACTATTTGAGATTTTGAGCAAAATTTTCTACAAAAAATAGTTTAAATTAAAAGATGTGGGAGGCACAGGGAAGCAGCAGACACCTTTGTGGCTCTGTCTGGTTAAACTAAGTTTGGCAATATTTTCACTTTTGCAAGAGCAGCTGGAAATTAAAGAGGTGGGAATCAGGAATGGATGATCTCACCTTTCCTCTACTGCATAGCTCAGTTACTCTGCAACTCCTCTAGAATGGCAAACACACCAGCTCCTCCTCATATCCACCTCAGACAGACCTTCTTCTCTTCTGACTTGAGTTGTGGGGAAGAGAAGAAAATCATGCCTCGCTCACATTTCCGAGACAAAGTTCTTCCCCAACTTCTCTGGCACCAAACCATCCTCTCCCTTGGAAACAAATTGCTGTGCCATCTCTAGCAGCAATATCAACCCTCACATATACTTGTATCTCTAGAGGCAAACATATGCCCAATTTATTCCCACTGCCCCCTTTTAATTGAATAACCTGACCCTATCCTTTGAGAAAAAAGAGTTGGGATTGTAGGAGAAAATGGAAAATAAAAAAAAGTTACTTTGGGATGGAAATCATAGTCCCCATGTTCTTTCTTTGGGGAGAAACTGACAACATGAAAAAGAAAAACAAGGGCCCAATACAGAAATAAATATTGATGGGCAAGGACAGATACAGAACAATTAACACTGATGAGAATAATACTGACATAAGCATACTATACAGTGTAAATCTATCCTTAAAAAACAGAGGAAAGGATTCACCAAAATGCAGCAGAAGACAAAGGAAAAATAGAAAGTGGGGAGAAAAAGTAAAGTGAAGAATTAAATCAGTAAGGCCCAGATCCCAAAGGTATTTAGGGTCCTAACTTTCTAATGATCAGAGCCTAATTCTTTAAAATTGTATTAATTTACAGCAAGCCTAATGCCCAAATGCCTACAAGTCATGCCTGATCCCAGTTCTATAAGAGACACCCAGGAATCTGGCAAGCTGAGGGGAACGGAGTTGGGGTTTTTTGGGGGGGGTGGGTGTCTTCAAAGAGAATTATTGGCTAGGCTATTTGTGCCTCCCACTGTGCCAGCCCATCTCCTGCGGTGTTCTGCTCCCCGCCCCCACATCTCAAAGAGATTGTCTAGGTGGCTAGTCTAGAGCAGGAGCGTCCACACGACGGTGGGAGATCCGGACGGCTTACTCCGGAGTAGCTATCAGGAACAGCGCCGAGGCCCGCCAAACCCTAACTACGCTGTAGGCCTGGCTGTCAGTGTCACCCTCCTGGGACTTCCCCTTCCCGGCACAACCCATCGCGACCACACGGGCACCAGTCACTAGCCCGCCCCGTCCGTTCGCCACCCAGCGCTAATCCGGGCAAATCGTGTCCCAGGGCGCCCGGCCGAGTAGGGCAGAGGCGAGGACAGGCGGCCTAGCGGGAGCAGCAGGAGAGGGGGGAGATTGGGGGCAGGCATGCGGGGGGGGCGGTGCAGCAGACACAGGCCGATCAGGACCCAGGCGCGCTACCCGGGTGGGTTTGTCTCGTATCCGCGCGCAGACGCGGTATCCTGGAGCCCAGCTACGGGGGCCGCACTGACTCCGGGAGCCCATAGCCGGGAGCGCGGTGAAGAGGCCATCCGAGAACACCCCTGCCCCGCACGCGCCGTGTTACCAGCCTCCGGGCCCCGCCCCCTCCTCTTCAGCCGGCTTCCTCCCAGTCTGACAGCCGCCGCCGGCGCAGAATCCGCGGCGTCCCGGGTTGTCATGAGAACGAAAAACATCACTGCGTTCCTCCGCCCGCCATTGGTTAGCATTGTTCGAGAAAGCCGGAGGGAGCGGAAGCGGAAGCCGCACGTGGAGCCGGCAAGGGGCTGCCGCAGTTTCTGGAAACTTCTCCTCGCTGTCATATTTAAAGCGGCGGCGCCGGCTCCCCCGCCCGCGGCCAGAGGCAGCGACACAGCAGCGGAGCCAGCGCTCTGCGGCGGAGCCGTGCGGGGAGAGGCTCGCGCGGGCGGGACCATGTCCGTGGTGGGGTTCGACCTGGGCTCGCAGAGCTGCTACATCGCGGTGGCCCGGGCCGGGGGCATCGAGACCGTCGCCAACGAGTTCAGCGACAGATGCACCCCGTGAGTGCGGGGGCTGCTCGGCTGAGCCTGGCGTGGGGGCCTGCCCGGGCCCCGAGGGGCGTCGGGCTGTCTCGCCCGGCGCGGGGGCTACGGCCCCTTCACGCGCCGCCTGGGTGCCCGGGGAGCCGGGCGTGGTATCGCGGGGCCGATGCTGCAGTTCCTGGCCCCGACCCCAGTGTGGCCCCGGGGCGGGGGAGGGTGAATGCCGCTGCCGGGGCGGGGATGCTGAAGCGGCTCCTGCCGCTGGGGGCGGGGGGCTCGCTGCGCCGTGAGTTGGAACTTGCTGGAAGCTCCCAGCACAGCCCTTCCCCCCCCCCGCCCGGCTGCGTTACTCCCGCGCCGCCTCAGCCCCGCGCGCCGGCTGGGGCGGGGGTCCCGCGCCTGTAAAAGCCCCTACAGGGCGCTGGGCTGCCCGCTGCCTCCCCGCGGTGGGGTCAGCGCCCTCTGAGTAAAGCTGCCCTGAAGGGCGCAGCCTTCCAGTCCCGGGAGACGGGGCGCGGGTGTATCGTGACTGGGGCACGGGGCTGCCCTGACATGGACCCGTCAGGCCCCGGCACTTGGAGAAGCGGGGATCGGGAAGCGGCGGCTGGAGAAGAGGGGAATAGAAACAGGCGTAGGTAACGTGCACAGCTCTGTAATCTTCAGAGGCTTCCCATTTAAAATCTGAACAATAATGCTGTATTGTGATCGGAAACGAAATAGACAACTTTCCGCCCTTCGCGGGGCGGGGGGGAGAGTGTTCACACACAAAGGCAAAGCAGATGCACTAACATTTGAAAGAACTGGGTCTACACATTGAGAATGTAATTATAGCTAAATTAAAATACTTGCCATGCAATGTGTGTATGTTTAGCCACGTTGTAGGATTAGAAAAGATTCTCACTGACTATTAACTTGCTCACACTGCACATATATTTATGCATATACTCTGGTAGTAGCTTTTGTTACCAGGAAGGCTCTTATGTGCATTTTGGGAGAAGTTATATTTGAATTAGAATTATTAATTTCCTGATGCATGGTTTAATTTGCAGCCTTTTTTTAATATAGTCTTTGGGCTTTAATTTCCTGTTAAAAGGGGATGAAGAAACTTTGTAGCTGTGGCATTGAAGATATGCAGTCTCTCTCGTTCAAGCTCTTGGTACAGCAGGCTATTAAACAACTTAAAGCTTTATTGCACATAAATTGATTTTGTAATTGCTCAGCTTTACAATGAAGAAAATTCTAATCCACATTGAAACAGGTTTTTTGTTTTTGTTTTGTTTTTTTACTCAGTGCTACATGTGAACTCAGAAGTTCAGCTATTCATAGATTAGCCACACCAAAAAAAATGACAATTTAAAAAACATTGTGACCCAAGCATCTGTTTCTTTTCATATAGATAACTTGGTTGAAGTTTTTTCTTGAAATTGTACAGAACAATTTACCCTTGGGCTAAGACTAAGTACAGAAAGTTTCAACTCCAAAGCATATGTTGTAACTTTACAAACATGCTTTGGAGCTGAAACTTTCTGTGCATGTGCGTGAAAATAAAAACATGCAATATATGATAGAGAAAAGTATGTGGCTTGGAGAGCGAGATTGCGGATTAGTTTTTTTTAAATGCTGTGAATTAGCATAAGCCACAAGAGTAGCAATATAACTTGCTCAAACTCTCAAATTCTGTTTGCAATAGCAATAAATAAAGCTGCTATAGCTCTTGGCAATATTGGCAATAAAGTAAAATACTGAATTAACAAGCCTCTCTGTCTTTTCAGATCAGTTGTATCATTTGGATCCAAAAACAGAGCTATTGGTGTTTCAGCTAAAAACCAGGTAGGTTGTCTTCTATGAAAGAGAATCCAACTACTAGTAAAATTAATAACATAAATCTGTTTCAAATAAGGGAACAAACGGAAATGATAAAATTCTGTCATCTTAATTGTCAGGTAGCATTTCAAAATCAAAGAACTGAATTATTCTGACAGTCTCATGTCCAGGTTTGCTGCTGAGGATGCCATTGCTAGAACTCCAGGTCTGTGTGCTGGGTTAATAATTTCCAGTTAGATGCCTGCCTTATTTGATCATTTTAAAAATAAAATCACCAGAACACACTCTTACTTAGGAAATTTCTTTGCATTAGAAATGCATCTTCACAAATTATGTAGAATGTGTATATAAGTCCTTAAACTGAAATGTGAACTAAGAGCTTTGGCCTTTGCTTGAATGAACTACTCTGAAAAGAGAAAGTGTTAAATATTTTCTCTTATTCACTGCAGTAATACATTTTTTTAAAAAGCGCTAAAACATTAATATGTTTTTTAAAATAACCATGTACAATGTTTAAAACTTCAGATATCAACACCTAAAAGCCATGTTTTGGGCTGATTATATCCTAAAATAGGACTAGTGTACTGCAGGTGCAGACCAAGCATGCTCCCTCTACTGGCCTATTCATATCTGTCAAGGTGCAAAGGTGCTGTGATAGGTTTCCATGGAGAGAGCATCAACTGTGAAAGTCTTCCATTTAACTATGAAGAAACAGGGAGATCTGATTGAAAATATAGGAGTGATCATAAGATACACATACATTTGCAATTACAAGATTCAAAGACAGAAGCTAACAAAATGATTTGCATAGAGAGTTTTGCAGTTTTTCATTCATTCCTAGGAATGGGAATGTATCTAATTAAAACAGATATCCACATAAAACATTGTGGAACAAATATTTCACTAGAGTTTTAACTTTGTGATCTTTTTTTTTATCAGGATTTGGAAGTTTCCTTTTGTACCACTGCTTTTATTTTTATTTCTTCAGACTATATTTCCATGTCACTGATTCAGATGTTAACATAATTCAATGAAGTAGTGAGAAAAAGTAAAGGAGTCTTCAGAGCATTTGTTGTCTTAAATAAATGGCTTCTATCTGGATTCTCAAGAGACTAATGTGGGGAGTGTTACTAAGAGATCATTCAATTAAAAGCTGTCCAGCAGCTTTAGCTAAATTGAAAGCTAAGTAGTTTCTCTCTCAACTTACATTTGAGAACATGCATTCACAATAGACTTTTGTTCTTGGGCAGTTTGTGGCTTCAGTCGCTTTTGGAATAGCTTCAAAAGGGTACTACATATTCAGTTTTTCATGCTTTTTTGTTTTAACAGTTTGAAAACAAAATTTACTAATTTTTTCCATTTGACAAACACTTAAAAATGCGACCTGATATAACACGAATTTGGATATAACGCGGTAAAGCAGTGCTCCGGGGGGAGGGAGGGGTGCTGCGCACTCCGGTGGATCAAAGCAAGTTCGATATAACGCGGTTTCAGCTATAACGCGGTAAGGTTTTTTGGCTCCCGAGGGCAGCGTTATATCGAGGTAGAGGTGTACATCTTAATAGTGAACAGGCTCTTTTCCTGACAGCAGTGGAATTTTAGGTCGTGTTCTTGGCCCATGACAATCTGGGCTTTGCATTTTCACTAACAAGGGAGTGTAACAGCCATTTGTTCAAGCAGGAGAACTACATACCTGAATTGTTCTGGGTTTTTAGCAAGTAATCCTCTTAATTTAACTTTGACATGGTTTTTTACTTAACAGCACTTAAATTTCAATTTTTGTGCATTCTAATTCAAATGCTAGACAACTTTGCGAATAATTAATTACTTCATGCTGGTCTTTCACTGTTACTTGCAGTATGTTTTAGTGAGTTTTCAGAAGAATACCATGCTGTAGTAGCACTGTTTAAGTGTGGCATGCTAACTGGCTTGCTGCTGCTTAATTGTGGCCAAAACCGCAGGAATATTCTCAAATATCCTACAGTATTAATGGCATGTGATTACTTTACTTTAAAAAAAGTCTCTTCATTGGTACATACAGTTATCTCGATAACCTGAAAATTAAAGATTTTTTTAAATTCTAAATCCGTTCATTAAAAGCCACTAAAGTTTTTTGCACTTGTTGCCCATTGCATACTAAATTACTTTTGTTGTTTAAGTGCTTCCAACTTGAGTGACTATAGAGCTACGCTTTTAAATAGATGTCAAGTACCCTTCCTGGTGAGGTTTGTTGTAGTTAATTTTATGCTTCCAAGTCCCTTGTTTTCCTCTGTGTTGGGGTGACAAAACAAAACAAGTCTCCGTCAATATGTTGATCCCTGGACTTACTACCTTTTAGATTTGTTGTTATTTGCTGGGTATTGTAAGTCATCAGTAGTTGGTAGAGAACAAAAGGCTTTTAACAAGAGCAATAAAAAATAATTTAAACTGTTACACAGACCGGGGTGTAGACTTTCTGTATTGTAACAGCTTGAGACTTTAAACTGTAAACTCTGTAATACAATGCTCATTCACCTCTTATGCCAGTATATTTCTGTATGAAACTACAGTCCTACATAATTTAATATTCAAGAAAAGAGGTCAGATGTCAAGTCTCTGGCGAGTAAACCTGACTGGTTTAGGAACAGAGGCTAGCAATCTGACACTGCCATTCTTTTACTAATATGCAGGTTAAGTGTTGCATTCAAGATACCTTCTTTTTCTTTCTTGCAGCAAATTACTCATGCTAACAACACAGTATCTAACTTCAAGAGATTCCATGGCCGTGCATTTAATGATCCTTTTATTCAGAAGGAGAAAGAAAGTTTGAGTTATGATTTGGTTCCAATGAAAAACGGTGGAGTTGGAATAAAGGTAAGAGTGTCATATTTGCAGTCTAGCTTTCTAGTTTCTATAGCTATGTTGGAAAGGTTTGTGTTCTAGCACTTAATTAAAATCCCTTATTTTCATGATTATTTCCCATAAAAGCTATTCTTCACCTCTGTACCAGAAGGGCTTTTGAACTGACGAATAGCTTTTTTTACTCCAGAGTGGAGTCAGGCTTTCGTTATAAATACTTCCTCATACAAGAGCTTCCCTGGTGGCAATTG